GAGCCTGTGGAAGGTAAATTATTGAGTCCTTGCCTGTGTGAAATGCTTTATGAACTCTCATCCTTGGTTAGTGCTTTGGCTGTGTATGGAACTTGAGGTTGAAAGTCATTTTCCTCAGGATTTTGAAGGTTTTGCTCTGCTGTCCTCTGCCATCTGTTATTGCTATTGATATGTCTGATCCCATTTAGGTTTATGTTCCTTAATGTTTCAGATGACTGTGTAATTCTTTGTCAAGACCGGGGCCCTTGAGGTGCTAGCCTGAAGAAGTAGCAGGGCAGGAGACTTTAGCCAGGACTTTCTGTGGTAGGTGGGGCCATGTAGTCACCCTCTGTACATGTGACCTATTTTTCCTCTCACCCTTTAGGATCGTCTCTTTGCTTCTAGAGTTCCACATTTCATGACGATGTGTCTTATAAAAGGTTCTTTTTCCTTCATTGCACTAGGTTGCATTGGGTGGTGATTATTAGTTCATTCCCATCCTTCAATTTGGGGGGGGGGTCCATAATTATTTCTTTAATAATTTTCTCCCTACCTTTGTTAAGTAGGTGTTTAACATCCTGGATTATCCCCTAAGTTATTTTCTTCTTTCACAGATAATCAAGGGACATTATCTGTTTGCTGAGAGATTTTTGTACATTTGTCTTCCAGTTCTTCTATTGAAAATGTTAAACGTTTCTTGTGTTCAATTTCTCATTTTACTGTTTTCTCATAGCATCCCATTCTTGTGGAAGTGTGTTTTCTCTCACTTCTCTGAGGGTGTCCTCAGAGAGGAGGAGGAGGAGGAGTTGTGAGTTCTTTTCTCTTTTCTTTCTTTTGTGTGTGGGTGTTTTGTTTGTTCCTTGCATTGCTTTCTTGAGTTGCTTTTTTTCCTGTTTCCTTTAGTCTGTGTCTGAGGCTTTCCTCAGATGCTGGGGATCCTTCATGTTTCAGAGTACAGCATTGGAAAATAGCTCTGAAACCCGGGTGGAGCTTTCTGTCTCCTTTGTATGTAATTTTGCTGAGAACTGACCTCTTGGTTCTTAGAACTTGGATATCTCCTTTTCTGGGGAGCAAGGGGATGACCATGCAGTTCCTCCAGAAAACACTGCCCTGCTCTCCTGCCTAGGAACTTATCACATGGCGACAGTGTCCTGAGCACAGGGTGGGGAGGGAGACAGAAGGCCTCAGACGTCAGCCTTCTGTGCCTCGTATCTCTCAGTTTGGAGCTTCTGTGACTCCGTTTTTCCGGAGAATTGAGCCTCCTTTCTCCCGGGGGGCAGTCACTTGGCCGAATGGACACTCCAGAAGGCCCGTGGTTCTCCACCCGCCGCCTTCCAGGGGCACCACCCTCAGAGCTCCTGTTCACAGGAGTTCCATGGGCCTGATCCGCTTCACGCTCACCTTCATTGCCGGTGGGCCCTCAGGCGATAACTTCCTTTTTGCTCCTTCATCTCCCATCTTGGAGAATTTTGTGAAAAATCTACTCTCACTAGCTCTCCCTTTCCTCTTTTTTTCTTGTGGGTTAATACATCTTTTTTTTTTTTCCTCCTCTACTATCTCTTGGAGGAGTTGAGAAGGAAGATGAGATAAACCAGTGTGTTCAGCCTGCCATTTTTAACTGACTCCAGCATACCTTTTTCCAGGCAGAGTATGATAACTGCTGGTTAGATTCTGATAGTACTGTCAGTGCCATTCCTTGCATATGTGGTTATGGGTCACATAGGTTTTTGTGGGCTGACTGCGGAACCCACCCACATGTGAGATTTTCCCCTAGAACTAGAGAATTGTTTCTGAATTGACTCTCTGGAGGAATTATAACAGACTAGAACAAAAATATTTCACATACCTCTCCATTTTCCGGATCACATAGAAAATTACAGATACTGTATCATTATTGTTGAAATAAAAAACCTCTGGTAACTAACAGAAACCTGAATTTTATTGAAAAAGTTTGTTCGTAAGTAAAGCCATAAAAATTGAACAAAGAAGCAAAGCTAAATTCTTCCATCAGTATCCCTAAAACTTCATTTTTCTGCAACTTTTTGGAAAGCAGTATTCCTAATTAAATTTAAGCCTAGTGATAGTGAGAGCTGTGGGAAATTGTGGGAAATGGCAATAGCCAGGAGAAGAGTTTATTTACCTGTATTTTCTTGCTGCTTTCTTATTCCTGCCTTGCACACAACAGGATCTTTTCACACTGAATGAGTACATCGGATTGAATGAATAACCTAGACTCAGCCAGATAGACCAATAAAACTCTCTTCCTAACTACAAATGACTAAGAATAGCTGTGTAAAGCACCAAGGTAATGAAGATGCAACCCAGAATGTGTAAAGTAGACAGGGTGCTTGAGAGTAAATGCTGCACCAGCTTGGTGTTGGAATCACAGGGACCGCTGTGTGTGTCACGCACCCGCTGCGGTTGTGGGGGTCCTGTTCCAGCCTTCCCCATTGTGCTGGGGCAGTTTTCCCAGAGCTTCCAGTGGCTATCACAGCCCCAGGAAAGCCAGGAATGGTGACTGTTCTCTCTTACGTGGCTGGAACAAGGTAAGGGCAACGAGATGTACTCATTTCATTATTTATTTTCCTTCCTTTTTAAAAAAATATTATTTTTAATAGATTGATGATCGCTTTACAATATTGGTTTGATATCTGTCATACATCAGCATGAATTAACCATAGGTGTACATATGTCCCCTCCCTCTTGAATCTCTCTCCCAGCTCCCACCCATTCCCACCCCTCTAGATTATTACAGAATAAGCCCCACTGGGGCTTCCCTTGTGGCTCAGATGGTGAAGAATCTGCCTGCAATGCAGGAGACCTGGGTTCAATCCCTGGGTTGGGAAGATCCCCTGGAGAAGGGAATGGCAACCCACTCCAGTGTTCTTGCCTGGAGAATCCCATGGACAGAGGAGGCTGGTGGGCTACAGTCCATGGGGTCACAGATAGTTGGACAGGACTGAGCATCTAAGCACAGTGTGAGTTCCCTGAGTCATAGAGCAAATCCCCATTGGCCATCTGTTTACATGTGTACATTGATTCACACTACTCTCTCCCTTTATCTCACCCTCTCCCTCTTCTTCTCACCCTGTCCAATACTCAGTTCTCTGTCTGCATCTCCATTGCTGTTCTGCAAGCAGGTTCGTCAGTATGTTTTCCTTCCTTTTTATTCTTCTTTGTTTAAAACAAATTCTTTTTGTTGACCTGTCTCCCCTCTGCCTGCGCAGCCTTGCTGTTGACAGGCTGTGGACCAGGAACCGGAGCCCGTTTCGGCTTAGCCTGAAGGGCGGCTGCTCACAGAGTGGCAGTGGTACATGGGTCCCTGTGTCGCGCATCCGTGTAACACTGGGTTTGGATCTTGTATTCAGCTGCCAGAAGTGACTGTGATGAAGTAGGGGAGATAAACTGATAGATTGGCTGCCAGAAAGATGTTGGGAGTCAATCAGATAAACAGGGCAGAGAAATAGCTTGCTGTTTTCCAGTGATAATAAAACAGAGGCCTCCAGTCCCCACATTTTTAAACATAATTGCCACGGTAATAATGTCTAAAATAAGCAAATGAAAAAGCAGCACAGGGGGTTTTTTTATTTGCGATTGAGATTGCCTTTTCCCTTTTGCAATAAAGATTCATCCTATATGGAAATGAATATTTTTACAAATTTGTTTTCCTTCTCCCAGTGCCCACTTACATAAGCAAATGACAATTAGTGAACTGCTTTCTGTAGGAATGTATCCCTTCTTTATTCCCCTCAGACTTCGACTATTTAACTTGGTGAACTATATATATGTTGCTTCTGTGCCTTATCTACAAAATAATTACTTATGTTTGTGAAGAAATGAGTTTTAAAGTAAAACCTATATTCTTGACTGGTGACAAGCTGGAAGGGGTTTATTTTCAGGATTTCTTTCAGAAGATTTTTGGAATTTTAATCTCTGTTACTGTTTCCCTGTGCATAGCACTTGTGTAGGAGAGATGATAATCTAGCTTTATTATTATAAGTTAAAATTCTCCTCCTTTAATGTCTAACTTTTAAATCTATTGCTTCTCCTGGCCAAGAGTTTTTAAGATCCAATGCAAATTCTTTAGTGTTGTGTGAGAGCTAGAGAAGTAGACGTAGCTTACACTCGGGGGACTAACCAGGATTAAGAGGAGAGTTGGAGAGTGGTTTAGTTCCCATGGAGTTAGTTGTGTGCGATGAGAGACTGGCTGTCTGGGTTGTGTTCAGAGAAGAACTTTCTTTAGGTTCCCTCTTAAAATTAATGTGTAAATGTGTTGGTGTCATATATGGTTGGGCTTCCCAGAAGGCTCAGTGGTACAGAATCTGCCTGCAATGCCGGAAATGCAGGTTTGATCCTGGGTCGGGAAGATCCCCTCGAGTATTCAGAAGATCCAGTATTCTTACCTGGAAAATCCAATGGACAGAAGAGCCTGGTGGGCTACAGTCTGTGGGGTCGCAAGAGTCAGATCTGAGCACTGCATCGCAGACGGCATGGTTAAGACATTTATTCGTAAGCATGGTAGAGTATCAGGTATGGAAGGCAAGAGCAGAAAGGCCACAGTTCTAATTACCTCCAGCAAAAGCTTTTTGCCTAAGAAGACCGTCCTGACTGCTGGGGTTATAGGTCAGAAGTTAAACACGTACCATTATCCTGTGGATGAGAAGCCAATGCATTTTCCTTTTCACCACCCAGCCCTTCCCACCTGACCTTTTAAAGATTCTCCATTGATATCAATGAGGAGGACAAAAATCATCATAAAAAGAACGAAGGGGATGTTGCACACTCATTGATCTGTTTGGGATGAACTGCAGGACAATAAGTCTTCCGAATGGACTTCTGCCCCCAGTTACTGTGAGAGCCGCCTTTTTGAAGATACATAAACACGAAAGGGTTACTGGGGGTTCGGTCGCGCTCTTGCCACTGGGCTGCCCCTTATTGATCGCGGTTTCAGAGCTGTCGCTGTGCCATTCAGAGCTCCTCCTGTGCCCTTTGACAGTCACTTGCTTTCCTTTCTCCTGTAGCTCCTCCGAGAACTCATAGAACGGAAGACCAGCTCCTTGGACCCCAATGATCAGGTGGCCATGGGAAGGTAACTTGGATATGGCTTTCTGTTCATACAGGCAGCCCGTGTAATAGTTTCTCCATCTGAGTCCCTTAATTCTGCTTCCAAGGCAACAACTCGTTCTATAATTATGAAAGCTGGGAGTTCCTCGGTGGCCTAGTGGTTAGGATTCCAGGCTTCCTCTGCCTTGGCAAGGGCTCAGTTTCTTATTGGGGGACTGAGATCCTGTGAGCTGTGTGACGTGGCCAGCAAAAAAAAAGTTAAGCATGGTAACGAGAGCTAGACAGACAAAGTGATGGAAATTGTTTCTTCTGCATTGACATAACTGCCATTTGAATAAGAGATTACCAATACCTACCTGTAAGTGTTTATTTTAAGGTGTTTCATAAAGTCCATTTTAAGCTCTTTGCATTGCAATTACATCTGTATCAGTCTCTGATCAGTGGATAAAAACATGTGCTGTCAGCTGTCGGGACCTGGCTCTGGGCATAGCCGGTTCCTCGCTCTGTAAGTCTGCTCTCATTGAGACCTCTGCCCCTTCAGTGAAAGCTGCCGCACAGTTAGACGTGGAACTCACAGTTAGACGCAGCACTGCCCAGATGTCAGGGTAGGATGGAAAACAGTAAAGGAAGACCCTTGTGCGTACGCTTTGTCCTGTGGTTAGAAAACAAAAAGGACATTTAAAGTGCCACCTAATGAATAGTGTACATTTAAATAGCCATGAGCTGTAACTTGCAAGAGCATAAATGGAAACCAAAGCTGCAGGTGTCAGAATGGAGTTCTGGGGAAGAGCAGCATTCTGAGAGATCACAAGGAAAAATTTGTGCTGATGAAATAATTTTATGTGAGTAAAACCTTTGAATTTTAGGATAGGATGTTAATATTTTGTATATCACTGGTATGCTATAGAGAACTGTTCACTATAAATTTAATGTGATCGAGCAAATTGCATTTAAGTGGTGATTATATTGTACATCTATCTGACTTTACAATAAAATAGATTATGGTAATTAAGATTATATTAAGATTACAGTAATTGGATTTCCCTAGATTTTTTTTTTTTTTTTTTGATGTTGAACTTTCATTATATGAGTCAGGTAAGATGACTAGCTGCTGCCGTTTCTCCGTTTTCCCCCCACATTTGTTCATATAAGCAATTTATGAAGATTTTCTTAGCCCAGTATCCTTTATTTGAAAAACGAATTTCTGTTAATTTAAAATGACTTGCCGAATATACGAATCTTGTTTGGATCCTGATTCAAACAAACCAACTGTAAAATTGAGATAATCTGGAAAATTCAAAGACTGAATATTTGATAGTTAAATTTTTTTAGGTGTGACAGTGGTATTGAGATTATTTGGGGGCTCTTGGTATTGAGATTATTTTGGGGGGGAGGGGGGAAGCCCTTTCCCTTTTAGCAACAGATTCTGAAATAATGTAGCCGAAATGAAAATTAAATAAAATGACTATAAAGCTAGTATCACTAGCAGATAATTCTTAACACTTAGAAAAAATGGAAAGCACAAGGAAAAGCACCTGGGTATTAACAATGGGAAAATTAGATTTAAAGAATTCACATGTTCAAACCAAACAGCAGGTGCATTATTAGTCATAGGATAGTCTGTGCAACTAAACATCAACAGCAAACCCAAGGAGCTACACTCAGTTTGACGAGTTTCCCTGCAGACTGGTAGATTTAGTGCTTGTCACAGTAACTCCACATGCTAAGGAGCATTGTTCACCAAATCTGTGGAGAATTTCCCAGCTGCCATTTGTTTTTTCACCATTGCACAGATCCTCTTCAATCGATAAGTCGCTTTGGCCCCAGTCTCTCTTGAGGAGCTTGGTGTAGGTTGAATGATTTCTTTATGCAGTGTTGTTAGTGAGAAAAATTCCGATTTGTTAACACGTGTAACTATTTCTGTTGATGATGCATAACGTCACTTGTGAATTTTCCAGGCAGTGGCTTGCAATCCAGAAGCTAAGAAGCAAAATCCACAAGAAAGTAGATAGAAAAGCCAGCAAAGGAAGGAAACTTCGGTGAGTTACTTTTTAGAATAAATGTTAACATTGTGTGTTATTACTTCTTTTCCATGTTGGCTATGACATTTTTTCTATTTCTTCTAATGATTCTGTTTTTAAGGAGCAGAAAAATCACTAGAGCAATACTTGAGACTTTTTTGAGATTCAGTTTTTCTTACTCTGAAATGGAAAGATAGTGTCAGTTACTTTCTGTTCTACTGCTGTGAATGAATAGGTTGAATAATATTTGTATTTCCCTGAAAGAGACATAATTAAAAAGGAAGATAAGAGAGTTGAAATTGCCTTAGTTTTGAAAAATGATTTCCTTATTACAATGTAAAAATTGTACCTTGGAGTCTTATTTGGCAGAATTATGTTGGTCCATTTTCATGATGCCATACATGTACCTAGTATGCTAAAAAGATAAAAAGTGGAGGCTTCCAGAGATTGTTAACACTGTGCTTAAATGAGATGAGGAGTGTAACTTTTATGAGAATACAGAAACCTATCTGAGTGTAGGAGAGTTCTCAAATTTGTGAGCCCTGTAAAGTCTTAAAAAGAATGGAAACAAAGAAGGAACCAGAGTAGAAGTGACATTGCTGTGCTTTCAGACTGAGATTCCTTGTGACTATTTTTATATATTATATAATATCACTCACACAAGGCCTCAGTGTCAAAGAAACTACTGGTAATTCAAGTGCACATTGGGAAAAAACATCTTAAACTCATTGTGTTAGGCCAGTTTTAGGCAGATAGCTAATCCCACATTTTTGTTAGAGCCTGCCTGTCATTAAAATTATTTCTGGACAAATGTGGATCTATCTCATTTTTAAGTACCTTCAAAGAAGCAGATTCCACTACTTTAATTAACCTGTTTTAGTATTTAACAGAACTCATCAGTTCAGTTCAGTTCATTCACTCAGTCGTGTCCGATTCTCTGCAACCCCATGAATCGCAGCACTCCAGGCTTCCCTGTCCATCACCAGCTCCCAGAGTTTACTCAAACCCATGTCCATGAGTCAGTGATGCCATCCAGTCATCTCATCCTCTGTCGTCCCCTTCTCCTCCTGCCCCCAACCCCTCCCAGAATCAGGGTCTTTTCCAATGAGTCAACTCTTCGCATGTGGTGGCCAAAGTATTGGAGTTTCAGCTTCAACATCATTCCTTCCAGTGAACACCCAGGACTGATCTCCTTTAAGGAAATGTTTATTTTCCTTTAAGTTTGCAGAAGTGCATAGTAGCTTTTCATTGTCTTTTGACTGAAAGTCACTTTTCTCAAATCTCATGTTAAATTGTTATAATTTGTTTAACTTTTTTTCATGTGCTGAAGTTTCCAAACCTTTCTGCTTCCCCCACCTTTGTTTTCAATGTGCTGGTTGAGCGCATGGACTCAAGTGCCAGACTCCCTAAGTCTGAATCCCACCTTTGACACCAGTTAGTAGTTACCCTGAGCAAGACCCTTAAACCCTCTGTTTTAGTTTCTTTATTTGTAAGAAAGGGGTTGATAATAGTACCAGACTTGTAGGGTTGCTATGGGGATTAAATGTGTACATGTATGTACAGCTTTTAGACTAGCACCAGGAACATAGCATGGAGAAGGGAATGGCAGCCCACTCCAGTATTCTTGTCTGGAGAATTCCATGGACAGTGGAGCCTGGCAGGCTGCAGTCCATGGGGTCACAAAGAGTTGGACACGACTTGAGTGACTAACACAGTACAACAATGAGGGCATAGCAAGCACTATATGAGTGTTTTTGCCATTATTCCTATCATTGTTACTGCTGTTGTTATCCCAAGACTGGATCAGTCTCCTACTGGAATGTTCGTTTACTTGCTTACTCACTTACATGCCTCATTGGTACCTGTCTCTTCTGTACCCCCATCCCTGGTAGGATTTAAAGAAGAATGTTACTACTAGTACTTTATAATTGATCAGGCTGAATAAGTACCTGTTCTTTAATTCTGAGATTAGACTTTTCTCCAATACTGCATTTTTTAAATTGTAACTTTGAAAAAGACATATACTCTATGTTATCACTTTCATGTGGAATCTAAGAAATAAAACAAATGAATGTACATGACAAAACAGAAACAGGCTCACAGAGAGAACAAATTAGTGGCTACCAGTGGGGAGAAGGAGGGGTGAGATGGGGATTAAAAGACAAACTACTGTATACAAAGTAAAATGGCAGCAAGGATAAATTTAACAGCACAGGGAAATATAGCCATTATTTTATTGTGATTACTCTAAATGGAATATAATCTATAAAATATTGAATCACTATGTTGTGTATCTGAAACTAATACAGTATTGTAGATCAACTATACTTCTGGTTAATTAATTAATAGCTCTGTGAGGCTTTAAATGTTCTCTCGAGGGAGGAGCCCAGTATTTGAGTCAGGAGACTGGCTCTGACTGGCTATATGATGTTGGTTGCTCTTTATTCTCTGAGCCTCACTTTACTCATTTAGTAAGTGGAGATACTAATCCGTGTGTGTGTGTGTGTGTGTGTGTGTNGTAAGTGGAGATACTAATCTGTGTGTGTGTGTGTGTGTGTGTGTGTTTGAGAGAGAGAGAGAGAGAGTCAGTCAGTTGTGTCCAACTCTCTGTGATCCCGTGGACTGTAGCTCTCCAGGCTCCTCTGTCCATGGAATTCTCCGGGCAAGAATACTGAAGTGGGTCGTCATGCCCTTCTCCCGGGGATCTTCCTGATCCAGGGATCAAACCTGGGTCTCCCGCATTGCAGGCAGATTCTTTACTTACTGTCTGAGCCACCAAGGAAGCCTGATTTGGTTTGAGGGATGGATTTGATTTGAGGATTCAAATAATGTGTCTATGTCTGGCACATAATAAACATTTGAAAGTGTTAGATTCTTTGATTTCTCTTGTGTTTACCTGTTGGCATTGCTGTTGCAAATATATGCTCTTCGAAAAGAATTGAAAAGAGCAAAAGATGTCTTTTCTACATTATTGTATTTTTGTGAGTTTTAAAGCTGCTAGGGCAAATATCTATAATCATGTGTCCCTTGAGGGCAAGAATTGTGCTGATTTTTTCAAGTTAGTTCCGACCTTATTGCCTATTGTAGTGCCTCACAGACATGTTTTTGGATGATTGTGACAGTAAAATTAACCCGCTTATCAAGTAAGACTTTCTGTGAGATACAGCATTGACACTTCACACTGACCAGACTAGGAAGAGTTAGCCTATGGAAAGGCCAAAAAGAATAATGTTTTTCAAACACAGGCTTGCAAATATCCCTGTCTGTTTTGGGAACCAAAGTTCATTTGTTTTGGCAGAGCCTTGAAGTAAATATGGGGGAATAACAGGAGATGAGACTGTGTGAATAAGTGGGTGCTAAATCGTTGTCATGCTCAAAACTTGGACTTTTATTCTGTTGACTGTAGCAAGTCATTGAAAAACAAGGAGGCCTGAGCACCTGTCAGAGATTGGAGTGCATCACAACTAGCTGCACTATGGGGTCCTAGATTGGATCCTGGAAAAAACAAAGGACAGTAGGACAAAAAATGGGGGACATTTGAATAAGGTCTATGGTTTAGTTAATTGTATTATACAGATGTTAATTTCCTAATTTTGATAATTACATTTGTATAAGTTGTTACCATTCGAGGAAGCTAGGTGAAAGGCGTACATGAACTCTGCACTATTTTTGTAACTTTCACACAAGTCTACAGTTATAGCACAGCGCAAGAAGCAAACAGAAAAGTACTAAATAAGGTCACATGCTTTGAATCGTGTTGCCGTTTCATCACCCGTGTTCATTGAGGCCCTCTTTGTGACCATGAATGTGTGGGATGTGGTCAGAATCAGTGATGTTGATATATAGCAATAACAACAACTAACATTTATATAACTCTCTGTCGGGCACTACAGAGCAGCTTACATGCAGAAGTGGAAAAGACACAACCTCCAATGCTAAAATGTTCAGGTTTGAAATCTGGCTCTTGCACTTACTGGCCTTGAGACCCCTTGGGCAAGTCACTTAACATCTCTCTCTGCTTCAGTTTCCTCATCTGTCAAGCCAGTATGATAATAGAAGGCACTTCCCATAGGACTGTCATGCAGATTGAAATTAGCTAACTCATGTAAAGTATTTAAGATAAATGACTCACCCACTGTTACAGAGCTAGTAATCATGAACATAGATTTAAGCTAACTGGTCTGATTCCAGAGTCCATACTTCTGACCTGTGGCTCTTGAGTTGTTTCTCTGGCCAGGACTTATCAGGCACCGAAATGATATCTAGGCTACATTAGAACTCTGCCGTGAAGGATTTAGCAAAGGGCCTAGGCTAGATGAGAATGGGTTTAGTTGCTCAATCGTGTCCGACTCTTGTGACCCCATGGACTGTAGCCCACGAGGCTCCTCTGTCCATGGGATTCTCCAGGCAAGACTACTGGAGTGGGTTGCCATTTTCTTCTCCAGGATAGATGAGAATACATGTCGTAAATAACTTCCTTAAATTAGACCCCCAGAAGAGCTGGTGGTGTGCCAGCTGTCATCACTGGTACTAGGTTCCACCAGTGGGCAGGCTTTCCTGTTTGTTTGTGGTAGGATTGGAGAAAAAAGAAATATCACTGCAAAGATGAACACTGCCTTGTGGAAACATTAATTTCAGTGATAACAGGTCAGTGGCATCAGCCTGGTAAGATTGGGTGTTAACAGTTTGCTGGTTGGATGCTAGAAAATAACTTAAAAAAAAAAAAAGAAATATGCTGGTTTGGGGAAATAATTATAATTATTAATTACCAGTATTTTACTCAGCATTATCTATAAGTGGATTTGATCCTGATTTAAGCAGAATCTTAATGTAAATGAATTAAACTCAGGCCTTTAATAATGAAATGTCATACTGTGTTTTGTGTTTGTCTGTTCTTCTGCAACAAAATTGTATTTATCTCTTCATAGTATGGTTGGTAATTTTAACACTAAAACATGCATCCGTCCTCAGTAGCACTGAGATGAGGTAAAAATGCATTGTATTAAATCATCTTTAATCTGATTACTACTTAAAAGCCTGTCCTTCATCATGCAGTTAATAGTTATTGAATATATTGTATTAAAGTGTAAAGGTATGCCACAGAGCAGTGCCATCCAGTAAAAAGTATCTTTACATGTATAATTTTTTAAATTTTTATTTCTAATTGGAAGATAATTGCTTTGCAGTGTTGTGTTGGTTTCTTCCGTGTAACAGGATGAGTCAGCTCTCAGCATACACATAGTTATACTCCTCCCATCCCACCCCTCCAGGTCATCACAGAGCACCAGGCTGAGCTCCTCTGTGATGCAGTGACTTTCCTCTGGCTCTCTGTTTCACACATTGTGGTGTGTATGTTTCAGTGCTGCTCTCTCAACTTGTCCACCCTCTCCTTCCCCAGCTGTGTCCACAGTCCATTCTCTTAAGGCTGTGACTCTTATTCCAGTGCCCTGCAGATAGGTTCATCAGTTACATGTGTAATTTTAAATGTTCTAGTAGCTGCAATTAAAAAGGGGGGAAAAAAGGAAATAAGTATATTTAAGTAATAATACATTTCATTTAGCCCAATATATAGCTAATATTATTTTAACAATTTATTGTTTTAAAATTATTAGTGATGTATTTTACATTTTTTCCTCTGATGTTTTCAAAGTCTGGTGCACATTTCCAGTGTTCAGTAACTCACATGTGACCAGTGACTCTTGGACCAGACAACACAACTATTGGGTATAGTTCATTGCCTTTGTCTAGACAGTGAATTAAACCTGTCTTTGGACATAGCCAAGAATAGTTTTCATTTTTTTCAGATGAAAAATGAAGTTTGGTGAAGCCTAAAAGACATTAAAAGAATCTGCCTACAATGTGGGAGACATGGGTTCGATCCCTAGGTTGGGAAGATCCCCTGGAGGAGGGCATGGCAGCCTAGAATGGATAAGCAGCAAGGTCCTACTGTATAGCACAGGGAACTGTATTCAATACCCTGTGATAAACCATTATGGAAAAGTATATGGAAAAAAAAAGTGTGTGTGTGTGTGTGTGTGTGTGTGTGTGTGTGTGTGTATATCAGTTCAGTTCAGTCACTCAGTCTTGTCCAGCTCTTTGTGACCCCTTGGCTGTAGCATGCCAGGCTTCCCTACCCATTACCAGCTCCAGGAGTTTGCTTAGACTCATGTCCATCAAGTCGGTGATGCCATCCAACCATCTCACCCTCTGTCATCCCCTTCTCCTGCTTTCAATTTTTCCCAGCATCAGGTCTTTTCCAGTGAGTCAGTTCTTCGCCTCAGGTGGCCAAAGAATTGGAGCCCCAGCTTTAGCATCAGTCCTTCCAATGAATATTCAGGACTGATTTCCTTTGGTTTGATCTGATCTCCTTGCAGTCCAAGGGACTCTCAAGAGTCTTTTCCAACACCACAGTTCAAAAGCATCAATTCTTTGATGCTCAACTTTCTTTATGGTCCAACTCTCATGTCCATACATGACTACTGCAAAAACTATAGCTTTGACTAGACGGACCTTTGTTGGCAAGGTAATGTCTCTGCTTTTTAATATGCTGACTAGGTTGGTAGTAGCTTTGCTTTCAAGAAGCAAGCGCCTTTTAATTTCATGGCTGCAGTCACCATCAGCAGTGATTATGGAGCCCAAGAAAATAGTCTGTCACTGTTTCCATTGTTTCCCCATCTATTTGCCATGAAGTAATGGGTCAGGATGCCATGATCTTCATTTTTTGAATGTGGAGTTTTAAGCCAGCTTTTTCACGCTCCTCTTTCACCTTCATCAAGAGACTCTTCAGTTACTCTTCCCTTTCTGCCATACGGGTGGTGTCATCTGCATATCTGAAGTTACTGATATTTCTCTCAGCAATCTTGATTCTATCTTGTGCTTCATCCAGCCCAGCATTTCGCATGATGTACTCTGCATATAAGTTAAATACACACATATGTATATATATATATACACTTAATTACTTTGCTATACAGCAGAAATTAGCAAAACTTTGTAAATCAATTATGCTTCAATAAAATAAAGTATCTTCACTTTAGCACTGTTTATAATGCTCTTTTAAGAGGGAAGACTGTAAGACTGTATCAATGCTTATCAGTAGGAGATTTAGTAGATTACAATATATTGATGCAACAGAATATTCTGGAACTATGAAAAAGAATACAATATGACATAGTGGAAAAAAGCATAATGCATGAGCATGTGAAAAATATATTGTTTATATTTGTCTTATATATGGAGAATGCTATAGGCAAACTTAATTTTAATTAACAATGATTATTTCCAGAGATTACAGGGGACTTGTCAGTTCTTTCTGTATTTCTGAATTTGTAATTATATATTACTTTTTATAATTAGGAGATAATGGGCATAAAGAAAGTATGATGAACAGAGATTTTGTTTTTGCATCTTATAAGAAGTGAAGAATTAGAAACAATATGACTGTTCAGAAATATGAAAATGCATTTATAGTACTTCTTGGAGTTTTGTATACAGCTGTGGAGATACAATGCTAAGTGAAAGAAAAGGATATGAAATTATGTTGTGTGGATTACTATGTAAAATGAACATAATTAACCAAAATGCTAATGATATTAATAAATATTAATAACAGCCCTTCTGCAGATAAAAGAATATGTATGCATTTTTTGTGTGCTTAGTTGGTTTGTTTTCCAAATTTTCTGTAATAGATTTATGCTTTTTTCTATTACTCCTGTAATGGGAAAAAGCTCATCACTGTTAATCTTTAAAATTCATTTGTTAAAAGATTGAAATTCAGGAGGCTTGGCTATTTGGTGGTAGAGAATCAAATTATTTGATGTGTGTAAAAATGCTTTTTAAATGGTAAAACATTACATGTATGTTATATCATTTTTGTGTGGATAGTGTTTTGCACCAGAGAGGGTTTTTTTTTTGTTAGAATTTTATAATATGACATGTCCTGCAGCCTCTTCTTTTATGAATAGAAAGGGATATCTTCTTTGAATTCTCTTAGCTATAATAATTTGGTCTGTGTAAGGTCAAATATTTATTCAGCCTTCTTCACCAGAGGATCTCAAAGCACTTCATATAAAACTACCTCTTTTTTTCTACTGGTGGGAGATGGAATTGACATAACTTCAGTTTTTATAACACCTTGACTGAAGATGTAGGGAGTGGACTCTGTATGTGCTCAGTTGTATGCCTTAGTTTAAGAAGGGCAAAAGGAAAGATCTGGTGAAACTGGTGAATGAAGGTGATTCTGGAAGCCTTTTCTGACCCAGGGAACCAGTGCTAGTGAATGATGAGGTGTTCCATTTGGATGGTATGCCACTGCCTCTGCTCCTGACTGAAAAATGATTAGGATACATGCAGAGAAGGGGACAGTGGGGTAATCTGGTCCTCACCATCTCTTGTCTGGAGTGATGTTTAAGGCTTAGTGTATTGCTTCAGGGCACAGATGTGTGCCCCCTTTTTTGGCCATTATATAATGGAGTTGTGTAGAACTACTGTCATTTACAATGTGCTTTTATCAGACTTTTCTCCTATAGCATTGAGGAAAAAGGGTTTTTATGGTTATGTGTGGCACATGCCTAGAAATTGTTCCCTGTTCCACTCTGGAGCCAGATGTTCTTGTGATCATCTGGAGTTTGTTACCTCATAGCATGTGTTTCCTTTTCTAGGTTAATAGTCACTAATGCTGCTGCCTGTTTCTTTCCTACTTTATTTAGGTTTCATGTGCTTAGCAAGCTGCTGAGCTTCATGGCACCTATTGACCATACCACAATGAATGATGACGCCAGGTGAGTAATAGATTAATTATCTGTCTCAAATGGCTTCATGACAGCCCAGTATTGACCTGTTCTAAAGCCTGTGGCCCTCTCCGTTTCTCCTTATCAGTTAACCATTTGTCAGCAGCATCATTGCAAGGGTCCTTGTCACATCTCTTCACTCCCAAACTGTAAAACCAAAACAAAATCTTTGTAAATCTCAGTGCTGCCTCTGTGTGGTTTTTTGTTTATGCTGTTTTGTTTTTGACATTAGCCACCTGCTTTGGACATCTGAGCTCTTCTCTAGATAGATGGGTTAAGACGGTGCACACACACTTGCTTCATGTGTTTGGGGTTTTATGTATATGTTCTCCTTTTTAAAATGGGTGGAGGAAAAAAAAATGGGTGTAGAGATTGCTCTGGGGATGTGCATTATGTTGTGTTTGTTCAGGGTACTGTTGAGGATTTGGGGGTTTTTTTGAGTATTTTTTACAAAAGAAGTACACGCTCACTTTGCAAAATGGAAATGTGTACACAGAAAATGTATACTCATATAGTTCAGAGATAATTAAAGAATTATCCATTTTTAAAAGAATCATTCCTTCTATATTTATTGGCATTCTACAACATAATATTTTTATAATATTACTTATCTAGCCATGTCTCCTATTATTTACATTCATTTATATCAATATGGACTCATGCTTTCCTATTTTATTCAGTTAGAATCCGTTGCTGTCATTATTTATTTTGGTTTAAAACTGTCTCAGATTAATAGAAGTCCCTTCAAACTGGTTTCATCCTTTTGAGATATCCCCACTTATTCATTGAGTACTTCTTACTTTCCACCACAACAAGGTATTCTAGGCTCATCTCACATTTTCCCTTTTTAAATCCTGGAATCAGTCTTTCTCCAAGGAATGCCGGCTGTTTTTAATGGAGTGTGATTTTTTTTTTTTTTTTTTGGAGTGTGATTTTTAGAAACCAAGTTCTGGGTGCTGAGATGCTCATTGTTCTAGGCATCATTGTTTCTAGGTTCTCTCAGTGTGTGGAGATAGGACATGTGTGTATACACACATACACATACATATGCACAGGATATTATCACGTTTAACATCTGAGGATATTTCCTTTCAGTCTTTATGGGTTCCCTTTTAGTATATTCTTATTTTTCTTTTTATGTACTTAAAATTATATTCTACTCTTGTGATCTTTTTGTTTAAATATTTTGCATACTCTGACCGTTCAGTTCAGTTCAGTTCAGTCACTCAGTCGTATCCCACTCTTTGCAACCCCATGAACCACAGCATGCCAGGGAATCATTCAAAAATTTAAGTGACTATGTAATATCTATTTTAGCCATTTACTAATTCTTGGAAATTTAAATTGTTTTAAATTATCATTGTTGTAATGCTGTGATAGACATTTTAAAACATAAATCTTTACCAAGTGATATTATTGGTCATAATGTAGGCACATGTGGATTTTGCCAGCTTTATCCCTCAAGCTATACTTAGCCTTTTTATTTGAGAGTATTTAGTTTACTACTAAACTCCATCAGCTTTCCTCCCCTTGAAAAGTAGTAGATATGCAGGTTTAGTTGAACTCAATGATGATTAATTTTTTTGTTTGCTTTTGTCCTGATTACAAAACAGCTTATGGATGATTCCGAGTGCATTTATGCCCACATCTTTGTGACTTCCTGTGCTTGCCTGTCAATGCTTGTATCTAGCTGGTTTTGCTTGTTTTGTTTTAGGGTTGTTGTTTTTTTTTCATTTATTTCTTGATCTAGTCTGTTTTTAAAAATAATAGAGTTAAATGCATGCTTCTGAGAGTGTCTTTCAGGATGACATGAAAAAATTACTTCAACAGGAAAGGAAAATCAGGTTCTTATAAAGGAAAACAAGCCCATTCAGGTAACACTATTATTCCAAACATAAAGTGAAAGCTATTTTAAATATTGGTGGCATCTTTTGAATACAGTTCAACTACATCATTTAGAAATGAATTGTCATTCCTAGTTGGGATTTTTCTTGAGTCATCGGATACTCTGTTTTCCAGAATCTAATTTATTTACTCATAATTTTTGAGGGCCTACTATATTCTAGATGTAAAGATAACTTGAAGGTGACTTTATTATTAAGGGTTATGTTGGGCTTGATATGTAAGAAACAGAACCTGACCGCAGAGGCATAAGCAAACAGGAGTTTATTTTTCTGACAGAATAATTCTGGAGGAGGCAGGTAATTACTGGCAGTGTTTCTCCCTTCTCAGCATCTCTTGGTTTTTCCCCTGTGGTCCCAAAGTGGCTGCTGCAGCTTTAGCCATCAAGCATGCATTTCGGGTAGGAAGAAGAGGAGAGGAGTGGTGTCAGCCACATTGATCTTCTTTTATCAGAACAGTAAAAGCTTCTCAGAAAGACCTCTAAAGACTTCTCACATCTCGTTGGCCGGAACTCTGTTATGTTGCCACTTCAGTAGAGTAGGTGAGAGCGGAGGGCACAGGAATGTGTTTGCTGGGCAACAGTCATGTGGCATTTGGAGCTTTTAGGAAAAAGAAGCTGCCCCTTGTGGAGGTTGCTAATTATCAGCATTGGTCTCATCTGGTTTAACCACTGTATAACAAGAAGTTAAATAGAGGTCTTAGAGCTGGAAGACCTAGTACACTCCCTCTGCACGGTTTCCTGAGGACACTGAGGCTGACATAGAGGCTGATGCTCATGCTCCGTAGTCGGAATAGGCCAGGCTAACTGCAGGCCAAGTAAGTTGGCATTAGCTCTTTCTGCTTCTAATATCAAATCTTCCAGAGCTAGCCAGTAGTGTTACTTTATCTTAGGAGGAAGGCCTATTTTGTCTTTGTTTAGATAATTCCATAAATGGAAATAATCTAGTATGTACTATTTGGTTTCCCACTTTGTATATAACACAAAGTGTTGAGAAATGGAAAACTTTCTTTTCAGTATCAGTGCATACTACTTTTCCCTAGGTGAATAATTTTGGTTTTGCTAAATTATAGATATGCCTTTTTTTTTTTTTTTAATGGTATCTAGATTAGTTGAAGGTAAGCCTCTGGGAAAATCCAATCCATTTTTACAGTTGTATCTATGGTAGAGTACAGCAGAGTTACAGATATATCATTCTTGGTGCACATGTATGAATAGAGAATATTTAATGATTTTGAGGTAGAGAAAGGCTTTGTAAGCACGACACCAAGGCCAGAAGCCACAGAGAAAGGTATTGGTAGATCTGACTACATGAATCAATTAAAAAAGATATCAAAAACAAAGTTATAAGTATATGAAAAGTTATAAAGCAGAAGTTCAGTGTAATGTGATTTAACCATGTAATAATGCTGTGTAAAGAGTTTTTACAGATCTCTTAAGAATATCCCAATAAAAATAGTGGGTGAAGCATGTCAACACTCAGACGTAGAAATTGTAAAAGAAAAATTGCAAATGGCCAAAAGAAAGATTGTTGATCTTATTAATCAAAGAAATGCAAATTAAAATAATGATATTTCATTTTTTATTATTAAATTGGAAAGCATTAGAAGATTGATAATTCCTCATGTTGATGGTGGAAGCAGACACTTTGATATACTGTTGTTAAGTATGATTGGCAAAATCACTCTGGAGGGGTATTTGGCAACACTTTAAAAAATTTTAAATGTAAATATATCTGTTGACCCAGAAAAATCCACTTCTAGCAATTAACCTAAGAAAATAGCAAGTTGGCAAATATTTTTGTATAGAGGCTTTACAGCAACATTGTTTAAATGCAGAAAAAAATTTAAAAATGCAAATGACCATCAATAGGGAGCTAGTTAAAATGAATCACAGAAAAGAATTCAGTGAAGTTATAAGCAACTATTAACATAATGTTTAGTGTAATAAGTAGACTACAAAATACTGTGTTATAATCCTACTTTTGAGTAAATAGACATGTGTGATCAAAAAAGAGTGATGCCTTTAAAAATATGCTATTATGGAAATATCTCCAGATTATTTTGTTAACTAGAAAAAAAAAGAGGTTTTTGTAATTTCCATTTATGTTTTAAAAGTAAAAATTAAGCAGCTATATACGTACAAATATGTGAATATATATGTTACAGAACTTAAATTGATAATATTTAAAATACCTATGGGGAAAGAACTCAGATGAGGAATGGGCAAAGGGGGATTTTCAGTGTTTTATTTTTCATGCTTCTGTTTTGCTTTAATCTCCTGCCGTGAGAATGAGACTCAGCAGTTGTGGCTCCCAGGCTCTAGAGCTTGGGCTCAGTAGTTGTGGCACGTGGACTTAGTTGCTCCGTTGTGTTTGGGATCTTCCTGGACCAGGGATCAAACCCTGTCGTCTGCACTGGTATGCAGATTCTTGACCACTGAGCTACCAGGGAAGACCATAACAAGTTTTCTAGCCCTTTTGATAGAGGCCGCTCTACCTGTGGTTCCTACCACACCCAGATCTGGAGAGAGAAGCAATTCTCTTCTTTAGTTGTTTCTTGGGTCCAGTTTATCACCTCACACATTTGCCTGAGTTAGATTAATACCCAATATTAATAAAGAGAGGAGAAGGAGAGAATCCAAGTGCTGTTACTTGGCCTTGAATCCTCCATGTCATTTGTCCACTCTGAGCTCAAAAAATCTGCCCTTGGTGGAACTGAACTGAATTGAGCCTGGAGCATAGCTCTCATTAAGGGAGAGAATGCAGAGAGCTTTAACACAGAGTATTAGAATATTCTTAGTGAAGGAAAATTACTATCTGTAAAAGGACCTTAACAAAGGTAGTGAGCGGCATCTTCATTTTATTTCACCTGTGGTGCAGTCTATGTAGTGTTATCTATTTAGGTAATTTCTGCTGATACATATTCTTTTCTCATGCTAGGTGATTTACTCTTCAAGCAGTCTACTTTAAAAAAAAAAAAAAATTTAAGGTGTGGAGCAGCCCAGTTTGCTCCTGTATTACCAGATTTCCATTTGGGGGCATCATCTAGGTAAACCTTGCATACTGATTCAAATGACTTTATATGCCCTCAGGTTTCCCTTATTAGTGAAAGTCTCAGGTAACCACTGACACTTCATACCACCCCATTAGGAGGGAAGCAGGAGGTTTATATTGCAGGCCTGATGAACACTCCTGGTACTGAGGGGAAAGAAGAGAAACCCCACTTTGCCCCTGTGTCACAAGTCTGCATGCAAGCGAGGAGGTTACCATGAGTCTAAAAATGATCGCTGGCGTTGCTGGACCCTCGGGTGCTCTTGGCATGGGCAGTGCTGCTCCCGTGTACCCTTCACACTCACCTTTATGAGGAGGGCAAAGTAACATGCGATGCTGAAGCGATGGAGTTAATCCACGGGCTGAGGAGGACAAAGGCTTTGTCACCTTGCTGGCAGAGAATTCCTCTAAGTGTAGTGTCGCCACCCCAGGAACAGGCCAGTATGTTACTTGCATGATTTACAGGATTGCTGTTCACCTCACTGACTGTTGAAGTTCTTCCACGCT